TCATTTCTGAACCTTCGTGTACATCCGTTCATTGAACTTTTCCGTCGCGATTCCTCATACCATTTTTCACCTTCTTTGGAGATGGGCTGTAACACGGTCTAGAAAACACCCACTCATCCTCACTCATATATAGACTGGGTGAAGTTTGGTATTATTATAAACGGGAGAAACTAGTCACAAAAATATTCTGGGTCGACTATACTATGCTCTGAACCCGGACGGTGGTTCCCGTTTTTGTATATATAAAGAGTGAGAATCTAAAAATCTTTACTTCTCATTATCTCGCGGGATTTTCTACAAGTTCTAAATCTCTTATAAAATGATTATTAAGAGCTGAACAATCAAAATAATTTTCAAATTTATTTGAGAAATAACAAACGTAATAACATTTCATCAATGACAGAAATGAAGAAAAACATCGCTGTCCTAGTTTCAGCTGTTGTCGTATATAAACTGACTAGCTGAATGTAGTAAAAACACAGTAACATATATCGAGAAAAGGAAGAAAGAAAAGAACTGTTCGTTGAAGATACGTAAATGGTTTCATTCACTATGGAACTTACGTAGAAGATAATTAAAGAAGGAAGAAAACAAGACATGGAATGCGCTGGGAAGAAGTGGAAAAGGACTCTTGTATGGGTGAAGTCAAGGGTGTCTGTAACAGGGAGCCTCTGGAACAAGGACGTTTTTCGGTGATTCAGACTCTGTTGCCCTTTTATCTACAGAACGAAGCCATATGGTCAAGTTCAACTAATTTTGGGGAAGAACTGAAGCTGAGCCTTTTTTGTAAAATTTTGCATTCCTTATTCTTTCAAACTCACCGAAGCATTTAGACATTAAGGTAAAATCGTGGCACGAATACTATTATTTTGTGCAAACACATCCTAATTGTTGTTCAGACCTGGTCTCTGAAAAATCCTAGCGTGAATATGAATAGCAACATGCCCGTTTGAGATGGCTAGATAAATGCATTTTTCTTGGGATAAGAACGATTGTATCCTTTTTTAAAAACCTTAAATTTTAATGAAAAATCACCAAACTCCTTGATCCTTAAGCGTTGAACAATGTGGATTGATAGCTACTGTCGGAGTATTTAATTTATTAACGATTGTTGATTTGTTTGTTGTTGTAGTATGCCCTTACTTGGGTACAATAACTGTTGGGTTTGACGATTTACCACCTACAACATATACAAGTCTTCCATCTAATCTTTATGAAAATTTGTTATGGACAAATGGTTATTATTTGCAGGCTACAGCCGCTTTTTTTGCCCCGACTGGTTATCCGACACTTCGAACATCGGGTAATAACACTGGCTATTATGAAGGTAATCTAATGTTAACCATTCAAGCAGTATCTAATTGTACAACATTTACGTTTAATTCTGTGTTGATGATTGCTGGATGGACACAGACACTGAGTACGTCGATTGTGGGTTATTATAACACTACGCAACTATATAATGAAAAAGAGCGTCCATTTAGTACGTTGGTCTTGAGTAAGAACAAGATAGAATGAAAAGAAGAGGTGTTGCGAGA